ATTTTTACATGAAGTTTTCAGGATATAAACAATTGCACTAATATTTTAGAGTTAGTTTTATTGTATATTAAAGACAAGCTGGTAGGCAGTGGGAATTAAGAGAAACAAATCCCTGAAGGCGGGACAGACCTCTGTACCGCCTTCCCAGCATCCCCTCCATGTCCACTACCTCTAAGTCACTCTGTTGGAAGTACAGTCTTTTTGAGAATCACTGGTGTAGAACACTAGTGCTCAGAAGCAGAGATGGGAACCAAGGGCAGAGTAGGTCTGTCAGCAGTCACTAGATCAATACAAGGCTTCAAAACATCTTATTCCCTGCCACTTTATTCAAAGCAATGCTACATCTAATGTCTAGGTAGGAAGGGGAAACCAAAATGCCACCACTATAAGCCCAATGGAACCCCACAGGAAACAAAAAGAACCCGCCTCCTAAAAGCTCCCAGCCTTAAAAGGAAGCCCAGCACTTGAAAACAAGTCAAGTCAGAGTTCCTTACACAGAGCGCGGTTGAGAAGTGCGAGGTAGAGATGCCTGGCTCTGAGGCTGTGTAACCTCAGGCTGGTCACCGAGTCGCCCGTGGCCTGTTTCCTCATGAAGAGGGGCTTAGCTAGATGATCTGCAATTCTGGGAATTCTGTATTTGTCACCAGAAGATAATCTGACCTGAAGATTTGACATAGTAATAACAAGTAGTTTTGGAGGGTGAGCAAAAGATTTCTTCCTGCACTGGACACCCACTCCACAGCCTCCTACAACACCTTCCCTCCAAGGACCCAGTGCAGTAGAGCAACCTGTGTCTTGGAATGAAGCCACCAACCCCAAAGTGGATTCGTGACAGATTAAGCCAATGCACCATTCCTAAATAGTCTTCTGCACAATGCCATTGAAGTGTTAGCAAGGAGGAGGCCAGGGAAGGACTAAGAACATAAATTTTTCATGGAAAAGCTTTGTGAAGATCGAGGTTTCCGTAATAGATAGTATCTACTGAAACGAGCATTAGAATTGCTCTCACTCGGGGCAACTAACTGTTCCAATTGAAACTATTATTACTTTATAGCCAAAGTATATTTTTATACTGGGGCTTACACCATTAAGTGAGAAACAACAGCATGAGCAATTCCTCGTGCCAACTCAAAATACCTCGGCGTGCAAACACTCCAGCATTTAGATCACAACACCCCCTAAGAAAGAACTTGTAGGATGCCTCAGCACATTCCCTAGATAGTTCTGTCATCAATTCAAAAAGCACCCCCCCGCCCCAGAGCAAATGCTGTTACCTTTCTGCAGACACACACAAAACTTTGCTGTCGTTTTCTTCTATCACCTTTTCCTCTTAAATCCAATTCTTGTGCTCGAGGTTCTAAAGTGAAACTATCTTGGCTAAACTAAATTTGCTTGGTGTCAGGCAGGATCAATCCCCTCCACCCCACTCCCTTGCTTTTTTTTCTTTTTTTTTTTTTTTTGGACAGCAAAGCCAGGAGAAGCAAAGGGACTGCTTTATATTTGCATAGAGCTTTGTGACTTGCAAACCACCCACACATCCATGATCTCATCTAGCCTCGGAACAACTCACTGAGGTAAACCTGCTTCCCCACCCTCTAATAATGTATGCCTACCTCACAGGACTGTTATGGGGATGGCACATAGCAGGCAGACACTAAGTACTAGCTACCAGCCATTAGACACAGCAAATGTTATTTTACCCATTTTAATAGTGAGAAACTGAGACTCAGAGGTTGGACAGTTGATTCCAGGCAACGAGGCCTCCAGGGATCTGCAGCAAGCTGTGAAGATGGAAAGCCTAGGACAGGACTCTTTCCACCACATCAATACACAGTCATGCTTCGCTTAACGACCGGGATGCATTCTGAAAAATGCGTCATTAGGCAATTTCATCATTGTACAAACATCACAGAGTGTACTTACACAAACCTAGATGGTAGAGCCTACTACACACCTAGGGTATATGTTACTAATCTTAGAAGACCACCCTCGTGTATCCAGTCAGTCATTGACCGAAACGTCATTATGTAGCGCATGACTGAAGACCCTAATTGTTCAAAAGTTTACAACTACACATTTCCACGTAGCCACACTGATAGGAAGGGAGTCCAAAGTCCTGATTCTGTTCCCAGTCACCACCAGCCACATATTCAGAGCTTTAGTTCTCTGGACCTTTGTGTCGCCTTCTCTGTAATGAAGGCAGACTCACTTTTTTTTTTTTAAACCAAACAATGGAATGTCAAGCTTCCAGATGAAAGGCTCTATTACAAGTACAAAGTATCATTTAATTACACTGCTGCTCCAGTTATCTGCTTCCCAGCTCCTAACTCCCACTGGGCGGATTCTGAAACCACATAGGAGATTATGTCAAGAGGGGAGAACAGGAGAAACATTCTCTCCCTGAACTTTCTTAAATGGAAGAGAGAAACAAAATGAAAAGAAAGGCCCATTTTCCAAGGAGGGGGCTGGGGCAATGATCTTTCCGTTAAGCGGACCTGCGTAAGAATCTATAGATTATTTAATGCCGGGGGTGGCTGTGGAGTAAAATAAAGGAATCTTTGTGCAATGCCAGCCACAGTTCCCTCACTCTTTCCCCAGTCAGGCATTTAACCTAACTCTTTAAATCAAGCTCTAATGCACCCCATCTGTGCACTGGTTGTAGCTAATGAAACTGAAGCCTGTGCTCACTTTGGCCTGGACTTGTGAATGAAACTTTCTGCCCCAAAAAGGGCAGCAAGGAGGACATAAGGCCAACAAAGTCTTTTTTGCTCATCCCTTGTCTTCTCCCAAGACTCAAGCTCCATCCATCCGTTTATTTGATCATTTACTGAGCTCTTGCCATGGGTCAGGTTCTGACCCAGAGATACAAAGCTAGTAGGACATGGCCCCAGGTGGAGAAGGCTATGTAAGAGCTCCTGGGAGAAAGGAAGGAGGTGAAGAAAATGGGCTGCACTTGACTCAGGCACAGAGGCCTGAAATACCCTTCTTTGCATAGTCAGGGAATGTTGCTTAGTTCCAAGTAGTTGGAACATAAAGCAAGGAATTGGCAGGAGACCTAACTGAAAAGTTAGGCTTTGCCAGATCATCCGAGGCTCTGTGCTACAGGCCAAAGAGATAAGACATCGAATTTGAAGGCCATTACCATCTCTACATATTCACTTTTGCGCATCTTACAAGGCCTAGCTCAAATACCACCTTTTCCAAAAATGCTTCTTGAACACCCTCAAAGTAATTGCTCTCTCTTCTTTGAGCTTCCAATTTGAGTTCTTTGACAACTTGTATGAGTCTCAACTTTTCCTTCCATACAAAATATGACTAACATCACGTACTTTTAAGGCTTCTTATGAGGGTTAAGTGAGACAACATTTATAAAGTGTCAAGCAGCAGTTTTTAGTACATAGAAGGTGCTAAAATACATTTTATTGTTACCTCAATTTCTTAGGATACATAGCACTTCTTCCTAGTATTAAAAAGATCTTCGGCTTCCACTTTCTCTGGAGATTTCCAGCAATAGGACAACTCACATTTTCCCTCCAAGCTTGCAGGCCCCCTTCCAAAGCAAAAAGGATGGGCTCCTCTCTTTCCTCACTGACACAGCCTCCTCACATCCAAACTTCCCGAGTCAAGGGATTCTCAAAAGATTCAAGAGGAATCTGAGACAAGATGAGTTAGTTGACAGAGAAGGATGCTATAGGCTGACTGGAACATAAATAGCATAAAGGAGAGTAATTAGCAGAAACCCAGAGAGGGAAAGTGAGCCAGAGGCCAGGACTCTGAGGGCTCCAGGGTTCAAGCTCTGTAGTAACCCTAGACCCTGGAATAGGCCTAGAAGGAGGAGTTCTGTCCTCAGTCCTGATTTGAGAATCCCCACTACCACAGACGTGGCTGTTCAAGCAGCCTTCTTCACTCCCTGTCAAATCAGCCAGCTGGATAGGACTGTTCGACATAACAGTTGATCCTTCAGTCCTCTCTGGCTGGGGCTACCAAGCCAGAGGCAAGGAAAGTGATGCCTCCTTTTCTAACGGTTCTTGTAAGCAGATCAAGAATATTAACTTTTTTTTAACTTAGTCTGAGTCTTCATGAAAATGTTTCTTTTTTTTTTTACTTTAACAGCATGAAGACCAGGTTCTGAGGAATGATGCTTTTTAAAGGGAAAAGTCCCCCATAATCTCTTTCTCCTTTTTATTCAGCCTAGTAAAACCTGTTTCTCTCCCCCTGGGAATTTAGGGCCGGGAGGGAGGTAGCTCCCTTGAAAATGCTGCCTGAAGGAGACAGTTTCTGGATTGTACAACTGGGATGTTGGGTTTATTTATTTAATAATAACCACCCCCAACGCTACGAAGCAGTTGCCAAGGCTCCTCAGGGAAAATAGGGTTCCATTCTTTCTTCGGATTGTGATCAAATGTCATGCCATATTACCTCATGTAGAAGCCCTAAAGGTCCCCACAGGCCAGTGGGTCAGCTCTTCACCAAGCCACTTTTGGCCTTCCCCAAAGGCCACCCATTTTAGTAATTCAACAGTCTGATAACCTTCCCCGGGGCTTGGAAGGCAATATCCTCTCTCATCTCAGCTAATAACCACCCCCCCAACACACACACACGTGATATCCTGCCCTCCCTCCCACACCCACCTTTCTTAGAACTCACTTGCCAGCTAGGCAGTCCCCTCTTGGTGTTCATGTGCCAACCTAAGCCAAGCAAGCTGAGTGAAAGGCTCCCATCACTCCTCAGCCCCTCTCCCCACAGCCTGTGAGCCACAAGCCCCCACAGCTTCCAACAGGGATGACGTCTAATTTCCAAAATTACAAATTAAACCAGTATACTCTCCCTCCAACTCTATATCCCAGTTGAGTGAGACAGCCATGTGGGTCAGCCCTCCCTGCACAAAAGATGGAGTACAAATATCCCCGGCTCTGGGAGAGCTTGTAAACTTCTGCAACCTTAGGAGCCAGAAGTGCCCTCCCCGGGGTAGGCAAGGAAGGCCGGCAGGGAACATGTACCTTGGAAATGAGTTCGTCATGATTGGCCAAGTGGGCTCTGCAGTGAATGCAGCTGTAGGTCCGGTGGCAGGAGGGTAGATATGCTTGGAAAGTCTTGGATCTTGTCATCTTCACCATTGGCGCTGCTGAGCGTGGGGTGAACTCCGGGGCAGCCCACGACGCACTCCCACAGGATGGGTCGCACGGGAAACACCGGAAGACACAGGTAAAGGCCGTGGTTTGGCAGGGGGTGGGTGTGGGGCAGGCTCCACACACTGGTGATGTCTCCAGAGGAAGGACCCTCAAGCAGAGGTCTAGGGCTGGTTCTCAGCAGCCTGCAGTACCAAGATAAGGCAAACATCATTAACTGATGGAGCTGGGCTTCCTGCAAAGCAAGTCGAATCCAACTGCCACCTAGAGAGAGGGCAACACTTCCAGGATGAAATGACCCCCTTCCCAGTTTCTTGCACTATGCCAAGATGTCTGACGAATGAGAAAGAAACCACTGGAGACCCCAGTATTGCTGCTTTTCTAGAGTTGGAGGATCAGTATCACCTCAGGGTTCTCAGCAGTTACGGTAGGTATCCACCACCAACATCCAGCAAACTGGCATGAGCACCACTCCTAGGGAGCCCTAGAAAAGGCCAGGCTTAAAGATGTGCTACCTACAGCCCCAGGGAGAGGACTCCTAAGAGCCCCCCGCTCCTGAGCCAACCAAGATAAATGGCTAAAGGAAAAGGAGAAGTTCAGCCTCTAGAGATTCACGACATCAACAATCACATATGGATTTCTCATCCACTTCCAGACGCTGGGAGTCTTCCAACACTTGAAACTACCACCTGCAGAGGCAACAAACCCCATACCACCCTTTGCTTATGGACTAAGCGTGGGATATAAAGGATCAAGTTCCCAACCAGCAGCAGGGTCCCTCATGGCTAGCCAGCTCTTTTTTGGAAGAAGTGATTCCCTTTGCAATACTTTCCCCAGAAGTAGATGCTCAGTGTGTGTGTGTGTGTGTGTGTGTGTGTGTGTGTGTGTGTGTATTTTTTTTTTTTTTTTTTTGGAAAAAGCAGGTGAATGAATGAAACAATGGCATAATGGCATAATCAGACTCCTGCATCTAAAATTCACGACAGTGAATTTTACCAGAATTTCTTCTCAACCCCTCAAACTTTCATTACTTATCTCACAGTACCAAACATCTCTCCTACCATAGCCTCAGCTCTTTTACTCTACCGAGGACCAAGGACACTAAGAAACTGGGGCAGCTCCCAGGGTACGTCCAAGTAAAGGTCTGAGGACAAAGCCTCAAGGTCTAAGACTCACTCTGCTTCTCTGTGGCTCACCCACCTGAGGCTTCCGCACCTGCCTATTCCCTGGGCTTCACTAACGGGGGTGGTGTTCCCACTTGCCTACCTCCCAGGAGAACCAGAGTGTTAATTAACGCCTGCATCATGCTTTGAAGATAAAATTATTTAGAGAGACGGGGGAGGAAGACAAACAAAATCAGATCTTCCGTGCTGGATTATGTCTGGGATCCATCTGGATGTTTAGAGAAAGCCCGCAAATCATAGTCCTCTTTTTCCTCTAAACCTCACTGGAACCAAATCTTCCAAAGGGAAGTTGCCCTCCTCCCTGACGTCCTTCCCACCACAGCAGTCACTGAAAGCTACTCTGCCCCTGGGACTCTGTATATCTTCCCGGGTGGCCAAGACCACTGGCCAGCACTAGGCTGAAGGAAGACAGTGGTTTCTACCCCTTACCCTGCGGGTCCTTTGTGCAGCCCTGAGCCAAGCACACTCCACATCCAGGGTGACCAGTTATACATGAGATGCCCAACTGTTGAAGGGATTCAGACCTACAGCAGCCCAGGCATAATATCTTCCCTGCTCAGTCTTCCACCACTATTTTTAAAGATGTGAAATCAGGTTAAACTGAACATCACAGAAACGCTTGAAGGATATGGAGGTGAGAATTAATTTCCCCAGCTTTGCCTCAGAGTTAGGCCTGGCCATAACAGGAGATAAGGAAGGAAGATACATGACCCCTTGGATCCAGAGCCCCTTTGTCTCACCCTGGGCATACTCTGGTAGTGGGCAAAGTGAGTGGTCAAAACAAAAGCCCATGGTAGACCACTGCTGTTGGGTGTTAAAGTGTTACAGGCGGTAGATAGAGCCAAGTACCCCACTTGGGATTTCCTGAAACACCCTCAAACTTTCCAATACTCCTGTTTCACTCTCAGGAAGGAGCGTATTTCCAGGAAAAGAAGAGGTGATAGGCCAGGGTAAGGAACAGGAAAGAGACGGGCAGCGGGAGCGAGCAGAAGGCTTGCCCCAGGCTAGATGATGACGGCTGTGGACTTAGCTGCCCAGTGGGGAGCATTGGGAGCACTGGCCCCATCCGTCTTATACAAACACTGAGGGAAGAAAAGAAAACAATGAGCCCTGGCTGCCAGTCTGGGTTTATACAGCAGCCACAGAGTCTGTTTTCTTATACATGCAGACGGCTTGTAAATTATGCATTTCCCCAGAGTAGAATTATTTCTTCCCTCACTTCTCTTCTGTAGGAAACCCAAAAAAAGCTCACAGGCAGGGGTTTCTGGTTATGCTCAGCTTCAGATCTGAATCCCAAAACTTACTCAAAGCTACCTTCTGAGGAATAAGCATTTATAGTCTGTATTAAATGAGTGTGTCACAGAAACATACCCATGCACACACATTCATTGCACACCATAGCTCTGAACTTCAAGAGACAAGAGGAAAATCGACCACGTAAGCAATACCGCAGGCTGCCTGGTGCTAGAAAAACCCCAGAGAGCCTAGACAGCAGGCATTAGACTCTGCTGCTCCACAGCCACTCTGCTTCTCTCATTCTTTCACAGGAAGTCACAGGCATCAGAAGGTGACTGCTTCCCTGAGAAGAAAGGAAAGAAAAAGCGCCTTGCTGAAAGATGAATCTTGTTCAACTGGTACAGAGCTAACTAGAAGGAATGAGAAGGGATAAGTGAAAGCAAGGTAAAGCAGGATCAAGAGAGGGCCCGTGTACCTGAGAAGAAAGGAGAGAGCAGGCGGAGTGGAAGAAAAAAGATGAGAGCTAGGGACCGAAAAATCATCACCTATTACTGTCTTCTTCCCTCTTCAAGGAAAATTTTAAAGCTGCTTCTTTGAGTCGATTCTTAGGAAGGAAGATAAAACAGATGGATTTTTCTTTTAAAGGAAGAAACTAAAAGTATGGGGCTGCAGAACTCACCACATTTTAATTTTTGGACTTTGGTGCCTGTTAATGGGGCCACAGGCTCCACGGGGCGTCATGAGTCCAACTCATTGAACATATTGTGGAGTCCAAATTGATTTCCAACAATAATCAAATGAGCTCGATATTTAAAAGCCTCAGGGCACATGTACAAATTAAACACCATTTTAAGTGAAGTAATAATCCATCACAGTGGAAATTAAAGGAAGATTTGCTACCACCCCCAGCTGGCTCCTGCTGATCAGCATGGAAAGAAAAGATGTGAACTATTATGATTAAAAACAAAGACCTTAGATACACCACTTTGGGAGCCAAATGCATAGGGAGCACACACCAAACCCGGCTGGCCCACCTGACAGACAGGCCTTTTCCATGAGAAGCCACAATTGCAGCTGGAACTCAAAACACAACCTTCTGAATGTCTTCAGGATGGAGGGGTAGGAGGTACGGATTCTTCAGGTAAGCCATGACGGAACCCGATGAATAATGTGGGGAACAAGGCTGTACTGCCACACACACAGAGACACAGAAACTGAGAGGTTAGAACCCACTAGGGTAGGTAACACCTCCAGCCACGGGACGGACTACCCCTAGGTGTGCCTTTGTGTTGTCATTTTTGTAGGGTGTTTTGGTGGAGGGCAAAGACTGCCTGGAAAAGAAGTGGACTCTGCAATCACAAACCAGTTCTACTCCTTTGTAGCTGAGTGACTTTTGGCAAGTTATTCAACCACTCTGACCCTCAGCTTCCCCAGCTCTAATAATATCAACCTACATAGGATTACAAGGATTAAATGAGATGATGTAAGTATATACACAGTGCTGCCACACAATACACACCAAAACTGTAGCTACTATTATTTTTAGCAGTCAATGAAAAAAAAAAATGCTGCTGCTTAAAAAAAGAAAAGAAAAAGGAGGCCTGAGAGCTCAAAGACAGACAGAGAGCTTGCCTGCCATTTCCATTAGGACCCTCTAACTTGTCTTCAAGCATTGCAGGAGATGGTACCGTTGGGATGACATCTCTTGAAACCTAGAATTCTCTTCTCAAGGTGAGACGAGATGGTGACGACACTGGAGGAACCTTGGGAGTGTTCCCCTAATTGGTAGTAAAGTCCTTCTAAGCAGTGGCTTCCCCAGTGGCCATGCTCCCACAGGCCCTAAAGCACTGCCGGGAACACAGCACCTCTGATTTAACAGTCCTGGCAGGCCTCTGAGCCTCTTTTCCCCCTTAAATCTGCCCTCTGCATTTTAGCCAATGTTATCTACTAAAAAGCAGATTTGACCATGTCATCACTCTCATGGCCTTCAGAAAGTCAATACGGGGCAGTGGTTAAGACAGGTTCTGAAACCAGACTCAGGGGGGTTTCAAATCCCGGTTCTGTCATTTATTAGCTTTGTGACCTTGAACAAGTTACTTACCTCTCTAGACCTTGCTTTCCTCATCAAAAAATAGGAACAATATCTTCCTCTTAAGGCTCTTGTGAGGATTAACTAAGTTAATGCATATAAAGTACTCGGCATATGCACCTGGCATGTAGTAAATATACAATAAATTCTAAGTGTGTATTACCGCTGACAACTGTCTACCACTGACACCCATAAATGGCTTCAGACTCATCTCTACCACCCTATACTCTATACTCCATTTATTGTACTCACATTTAAGGGTCTACCATGTGTCAGGAACTCTCTTAAGTGCTCAGATTTGACAGCCAAACCCTTTGTAGTTCCCCCTAATACACCACACTTGCATTTCACCCTTCCACAGTTTTGTTGATGCCATTCTCCAGCCTGACACATCCTTCTCACTGCCCCTCACCAGGCCCTTACTACTCCACTAAGACTCAGCTCTAATGTCACCTCAGCATTAGCTTATTGGCCCCTCCTCTATGCTCACCTCTGCCTTAACACTTACCCTACTGAAACTGAAATTATCCTTTTCTGCCTCTGTATCCTCTACCAGAGGTAAGCTCCAAGAGCAGGAACCACATTTTAATCATTTTTGTACCCTCTGAACTCAGCAGCACAAGGTACACAGTAGAGGCCATCATTGAACTGAACTCCCTCTCCTTCGCCTTGGGCT